TTCCTTAGGTGATGACCTTTATAGGAGGGACTCTTCTAATTATTTATCTTGGACTCTTTACTCTCGTGTGTGTATATATATATATATATATATATATATATATATATATATATATATATATATAGGAACTATATACATAAAAATTAGATACACGAATATACGAATGTGTGGATATATAATATGACTGAGAAATTATAAATCTTTTTTTATTTCATTTTAGTTATATAAGTTAGAAATTGTATATCTTCTCTCATATACCTTTTGTTCCTAAATTGGATAAATTTTTTTTGAAAATTATGTATCGTAAATTTAGGGATCTATATTAATTTGATTTAGATTTTAATATTAAATTTTTTTATAAATAATAGTATATTATAATTTTTATACTTATTAATCTTTGCGCATCTGCGTACTTCATTAACAGACAAAGATTCACAAGGCTTCACCTCTCATTTTGATGATTAGATGGGTGTTTGGTTTCCGCTGGGCAGGAGCACGCATGCAGGTTGCTGCGAAAGAAGTACACGTCATTTGAATCCGCGAGGGTGATTAGCTATACGTCTTGCGTAGACGTCACATCCTACAGAGACATCAGGACGGGTCATTCAGAATGCGAAGAGCTCTATGTATGGCGAAATAGATGGGGCTGTGAACCATCAGAACCGTCGTTCTGAAAATGAACGCTCAGATCACAATTGTATTGGACGACTCACGGTACTGTGTTCACACAGTCCCAAACCTTCTCTTTATCTACTGCATCCTCGAATCCTATCGATAGTGGATGGAAATACTAAGCCAAAGAAGCAGCAGCGGCGAACACAAAGAAAACGACCAAGTACGTCATGAAGACTTCTACCCCTCTCTTCCTCCTGACTCCCCCACCACCTCCCTCTCTCCCCTTCTTCGCAACCTCCACGCAGCGTCTCCTGTCCACAGTCCAGCTTCCACTTCTAGCCACCACCCGCTCCTCACCATGGCCCAACCCCAAGCATGCGGCAATAACGAAAACGGCGAGAGGCCGAAGACCCCTTACAGCGACCTCGGCCGCCGACGACGACGACGTGGAGGCTGGCGCTGGCGACGACTACGACATGGAAGAGGACGAGGTAGAGGAGCTCGACAACAAGAAGGACTACGATGTCGAGTACGACCGCCTCCTAGGCTCCCCCATCTCCGCACCCGCCACTGCCTCTGCCGCCGGCGCCGACTCATCGCCGGATGATATCGAGATGGTCACCAGCGAGAGTTTCGTGTCCACCCAGGGTTGGGGTTCCGACACCGTTGTCGACTACCGCATCAATGAAGAGGAATTCCACAAGATCCGCCTCCTTCACTGTGACTTCTTCATCCGGAAGCCTCCCGACCCCGATCACAACGTCTATGACTTTCGAGAGGTCTTCAGCCTTCCATCTTTCTCGTTTTAAAAATTCTATAGTGGCGTTCTCTTGTTACTCTGATGCAAATCTCGTTGTGGCATTTCAACAAGCAGATGTATGTTACTCCTCCCGACACGGATGTTTACTCGATTCCGAAGGTCCTTGCGCCGATGCCTCAGAAGGTATCCAAAAGAAAATTCACAACTCTTTTTTCTTTCCTCCTTGATGTCATGTTCCTGGTGGAGAATTTGCTTGCTGCAATGTTTTGTCAGTATAATCGTGTTTAGTTCATGCTTGAGTTTTAAAGTGGGTGCTTTCTGCTGTTGACAAAATAATGTTGAAGGGATCATCCATTAGGGATGATTGCTTTGGTTCATTAAAATTGCACTTATTGTTAACTGCACTTTTCCATCTTTTCTTGCATTCGATAGTACATCCGTTGCTCCAAAACTAATTTTGGTTGCTACAACGTTATGGAGCCACCGATAGATGCACCTCGAGATCCATTATATAAAACTGAGCGGGAGATCCTGAAGGTACACACCGAGACCCAATTGCTAGTGCATGCTGTTTCATTTTGATCTTTGCTCTTTCAGGTGTTGTGTAATTGTGTTATTTGTTGATTGAGAGAATCTTTTAGCCATTAAACTAATATTCACAAACAGTCGGTTTTCTCCTTGTTAGTGCAATTTGTCCTAATGATGGTTTTGGTTTTGAATAATACTCTTTTCAATGCTTCCTCAGTTCTTGTGCAGATGATGTTAGCTTCTTTGATCACTATGATTGCTCTGTCATTATAGTAAATACAAAACAGTTCTTTTTTTCTCTATATTTCATTGGAAATCTAGTTATTTTCTTGTCTAACAATTGGTTCATGTGTCTCTATATCCCCTTAGAATATGTTCCT